TGAGTGGGACACGCGCAGACGTGAGCGTTAAACTGTAGACAACAGTTTATTGTTACGCTCTGGGCTAAATTGTAATGATATTTTCATTAACTTGGCCTTTGCCAAAAGACCCAACCACGCACCACGCACCACACTGTCCCAGCCATAGCCCCAACTCCCCTCACAAAACCAACAGCAATTCAAACAGCTGCAGGTGAGCTCCGGCTCCAACACTAATCAGTGCGCGTTGAGTGGCTATCGAAACGCGTCAAAGAGCCAACACTAATGCTGTCAATTGTGAGAGTATTGTATCAAGTATTTGCACAAGGCGTCCTTGTCCTTGTCCCTGGCTGTGAGAGCGTGAAATCAATACGCCGCTGGGCTGGCGCCGGCGCAGACCCCAGCGCAGGCGTAGGCGTCGCCTACAGCACTGGCAATAGGCAATAGCCAATATGTCAGCAGTTGGCTTAAATCAGACTTGTTTAATCAGCTGACGGACATTAATTAAGTTATTGTATTTGGACTGAGGTCGATATGCCATATCATATAATAAATATTGCTTTGAAATATTAATGAAATACGAAATCTGAAAAGTTAAATTTTGTCAAGGGATGTCAGCGGATGGCAATATTTCAAATAAAAATGAATATGGACCGGATTAACTGAAGGTTAACTTTATATAAGAATTAAGAAGTAATTTCTCATTTGTTTAGAACTATAAAAAAATGTTAAAGAAAATATGTATCAAAGGGGTTTTCATGCTACAAAAGTTGATCCAACTTGACAAATGACCGTATATCATATTGTATAATAAATAAATGCATATGTAGATTTATGATTAATGTTTTATATATGTATGTATTTGTATATTAGCGAGAGATTTGATGGATATTATACTTCATTAATTGCTAGGATAGCCAGCTTGAGTGAAATGGCCTGGCAAACATTGTATACATAGAGAATGCAAATCATTTTTATGTAAATCTTAGGTCTTAAATAATAAATGTAAATTATAATTTATTATTTATAGTCAAATTGAGATCTTTAGTAATTTATATCAGGAATTTAATTTAGACTATGTTTTAAATATATTGTAAAATTGAATTCTTTACTCAATGCTCTTCAGTGTTAACAATTGCCAATATTTACTATAGTTACTAGATATTTTATAAGAATATTAATTTGAAGTTTGAGCATCCGCTCTCTCCCTCTCTTCCACTCGCTCTCTCTCTCTCTTTCTGTCTCTCTCTCTCTGTCTGCCTCTTTGGTTCTATTGAGCAGTTAGGAAAAACCACATTAAGATTATGCATATTGCATTTGCGTGTGCATCACGTATCCGTTGCCCTGGCCAACTGCTGTCTCTTGGCACTGCTGGCTTTGAAATGAGCAACAAAGTTAATTTCAATAAACAGGCATCGCTCGCAGTGGCCTTTGGCATGGGCCCGTCAGGCGACTGCGACTGCAACAGCGCGAGCTCGAGCGTTTGGGTCGAAGAAATGCCGCCCAAAAAGCCGACGCATGTTCATGTTACCGTTGCCCATTGGCTGACTCATGACGCGGATCGGGCCCGCTGTCATTTTGGCCATTTGCGTTGTCAGTTGGCCTGGCCATATTCGAGCACGAGTGCTGGCGAGCCAACAAACGATATATGTATATACAAAAGGATTTGTCTGTGGCCTGGCTGAAGGCGCTTTGATTAATTGCCGACTTAGAGCCTGGCCATTCTCGTTAGGCCAAAATGATGCTGTCGCTGATGTTGACGTACAGTGCTGTCCGATCTCGAATGGCGAATGGCGTTGGCGTGAATCACTTGAGCCAAAAGGTCAGGCAACAAGGTTGAAGATATGCAAACTGCAAAATTAATTGCCAAGTTTGTCTGGGAAATGCGGAAATTAATTGGGCGACTACCAGCAAGAGAGAGAGAGAGGTAAACGAAACAACAAAGCAGATAACTGCCAACTTTGTGGCACTGCAAATTGGCAACAAATTCGAGTAGAGCTGATGGGAGGCCACGGCACTAGGCCAATACATGTTATAAATGGCAAATGGCTGCTGGCCGCAAAGCGTTTGGCTTCTGCGTATTTTTGCGTGAGGACTTCAGCTAAGCCAGAGAGAGGGAGAGAGAGAGAAAGGGAGAGAGAGAGAGAGAGAGCAATAAAAAGAGAGTCATTACCAGCTGGCCACGCAATGCAGCAGGCAGCCAGCCAATAGCCGGGGTCAACAGGTTAATGGGCAGCATTAACGGGCCAATGCAGGCATGTACGTGGCCAACCTGGAGTGGAGTGGAGTGGAGTGGAGTCGTTGCCAGTTGGAGCGTTAATGTCTGTCGCTTTGATTGCCTGCCAATGCGCCTCTGGCCAACAGCTTTTTCGATGTGAATGTGCGTTTATAAATCTATCGAATAGATATACGAAAGTACCCACAAATATATACACATATGTATGTATGTGCACATGTGTATGTATTCCCCTCACTCTCACTCTCTGCCCGTCTGTCTGGCATCAGAAAAGCGAAACTTTAAGCTGCTGCATGTAATGCACTTATAAGAGCTGCGGACATTGCGGCAATTTGTATGCGCTTTGTTGACTGCTCATGCATATGATTGACTTATTGATTGCTTGATTGATCGATGGCCCGGCCAAAGTGACGGACTAGCTGACATTAAGCGGCTGCCATCGACTCGCAGTGCTCCTCAATTAGCTAGAGAGCCGACAGCGCTCTGCTCCGGGCGAGTTCATAGAACTTTGCTACCGTTATATTTATACATACATATGTATGTATCACAGTTTGTTACACACATAGTGCGATAATTATATGTATGCCAAATCTGGCGTCTAGACTTCATAAACAACCCCATTGGAGGTACATACGTGCCACGCATGCGCGCATGTAATCATGCTATTTGTGCTATTTTGTAGTTGAGTATTTTTATACACATTTATTTATATACATATGTATATCTATACACTCGAAGTGCATTGACAAATAAGTATTTACGATGTCAAACGAATGAAAACGCATTGAAATGCATTGCAAAATGTGCAAAAATGTTTTTTAGCTCTCTGATGCCATAAATTACGAGTTAAGCATGCGAGAAGGGTGCTCAATGTTTGTTGTTTTTGTTGTTGTTGTTGTTGCTGCTGGTGTTTCTCATATTCTTACTGTGCATACAAATAGTACAAAAAGCAACAGCAGCAGCAGCAACAACAACAACTGTCAACCTACTTAGGTTTTAATTTATGCGTAAGTCTGGATTTAGTAGCTTTTCAATATTAATTTCCAGCAGGAGCAACAACAACAACATCGCAGCCTGGAGCCATAAATCACAATATCATATATAAGCATACGATTATACGCCGCATTTGGATTTATTGAACATAAGCATATGGCAAAGGAGGCAGCAAGCGCATTTCTGCTGTTCTTGTTGTTGTTGTTTTTGTTTGTGTATATCTTTCAGTTTTTAATGCTTTTGACTTTTTACGATGTTTCTTATGAGTGGATAGCCTAAAATGGGGCTTATAGAAGGTGCGTGGTACAAAGAAAATGATTCCATATTCACAGTTCTCTATTCGTATTAATATTGAAATAAATATAAAGTCTAAACGTATAAAAAATCTGGATAAATATAAAAAATATGTATGTTATTATATAATTATAATATTTAATTTATAATAAAATTGCATATGACAATGATACAATATATATATATATATTTAATTTTATTACATATAATTTTATTTTTTTTTTTAATTTTTTAATATAATTATATTATCATTTTATTGTCAATAAGATTAGAGATATATAAATATTTGTTAGTTTTTTTATATATAATTTTATTTCTTTATTTATAAATTTTAAAGTTTCTTACTTTATATTTGATTAAAAGTGAATATTATTATTAAATTACATAATTAATACTTTTACATAATATAATACTAAATTTATTACAATTTTTATAAGTAATTTTGATTTTTTACAAGCTTATGCATTTTGTTTTATGTATTAATATCCGTAAATATATAAATTACACAATATATTTATTGACAAATTGTTGTTTAATCACTATATAAAATATATATTTAAACTAATATATATTTTTATATAAATACATTTATTACGATATATTTATATATTTCTATATTTATATTTATCGACAAATTGCTGTTGACACGCCCATTGGCAACTTCATCTGTAATTTCTCAACTTTGATGTAATACGAGACCCATTGGCTATAAATAGGGCCCCACAATAAGACAGCAAACAGCCGAAATTTCAAGTTTCACTGCAGGCTCTAAGCTCATTGAATATCAATAGAAATGCGTGTAAGTGTGTGTGTGTGTGTGAGATGGGTGCATGTGTGTGTGTGAATCTATGCATGTGCGGCTTGCCATCAACGGCTGAGCTCAGCGGACTTTACAAAATCCTATTAGAGCTGTCCAAATTCCCATAGGCGCGCTAAAAGCCTTGGCAAAAATTTAATAAATAAAAAAAAAAAAGGAAAAATAATAATAAATACAAAGAGCGCTGTGCAGCTGTGCAAAGCCTCAAAATAGCCGCCAGTTAGTGGCAAAGATCGCAGCACTGCACAACAGCACGGGTTGGCGCTGGGACTGGGACTGGAGCTGAGGCTATGGCTGGGGCTGACGCGGGGGTGCGGGTGTGGGTGTACGCCCTGGGTATGGCACACACATGGCAAACAGTTGTGAGCTGTGCGGCGGTGCTTGGCTTTTAGGCTTTCGCCCCGTTGCGTGGGTGTGTGTAATTTGACATCTTCATGAAATAATTAAAATTATTTATTGTTAATTTATTTTCGCTGTCGCTCGGCAATCGATAAAGTGAAAGATAAGCCGAGTGCATTAAACAATTGAAATTAATTTGTCAAGCATTTGACAAGAGGCGTGCCCCACAGACCGGGACACACGGACCCGGACCGGACAGCCGGACCAAACACGGCCAAGAGCCGCTGGTGAAAGGAACTGCTGAGCGCTGAGGCACTTTCACAAAAGCTTTCGGCGCGGCACAAAAGGTCAGCGTCAACCCCAAGGGTAGTCTAGCTAGCCAAGACTCGAACCTCGCATCAGGCGTGGCAGCCGCGGTGGGCGGTGGGCGGTGTATGGCATTGCCCACTGCCACTGCTACCTGCTGTTGACTGCCCTCTGGGCAAATACTTCACTGCTGCTGCTGCTGCTGCTGCCTGTGCAGCGCAGCGAATGCAATTAAATGGATGCAGGCCGCTGCCACCGGCAGTTTAACGGGGCAGTTAATCATGCATCGACATGTGGCCGAACTGCTGCTGCTGCTGCCCGGCAACTCCCCACTCTTGACTGCCAACTGCCTGCTGCGGACTGGCAACATATTTGGCGGTCACTTCTAAGCCGCATTCGAAAGTGTTGCGCAAAAAGCAGTTTGCAATTAAAACATGTTGGCATTGCCGCTGCCAACAGGAACAGCAGCAGCAGCAGCCACAGCCACAGCAACAGCAACAGTTGCTGCTGCTGCTGCTGTTGCTGTCGTCTAGACGTGGCGACTGCTGCTATGACACACAGATGGCGCTGCTGTGCCAGGCTGATGTGCGCAGCGAATCGGCTTTCAGCGAAGGCAGAGAGCGCCGGCGCAGGAATGAGGAAACTCTGGTGAAAAGCTGAGATGCGTTGAGAAATGTGGTTAATTGATTTTTGGTGCGCCCTGTTTTAGCCCCTTGTCGTTCTCGCTCTCTCTCTCTCTCTCTCTCTCTCACTCGCGTGTTATTGGTTTTTGCAATTAATTTAAAGTTTTCCTCTTCTGTCTTCCCTGCAGAATCATACTCCATGGCTGTACGACAATGTCCAATGCTCGCGAGCTGGCATTGATCGAGAAATGGGCTGACATCGCAACGCCGCCGACGCCAACATTGCCCGGCCTATCGCCAACATCGCCGCGCACCATCATCAAGTTCTGTTGTTGCCCACAGCGCAGGCGCTACACTCTGAAGCAGCCCAAGCTCAAGTCGACGGCGAACACGCTGCATGCTAGAAATATATTCGTTGATAGCGATTTTACGTATATTGATGATGTGCCACGTGCCAGCCGCAGCAACAACGGCAACGGCATCGGCAACAGTAGCAGTAGCAATAAGCGACGCGACGAAGATTGCGACAGTGATTACGATTGCAATGATTATGATGATGAGGCAAATGATATCGCTGAGATCTCTGGCAAAAGCAACAGCGACCACGACGGAAATGTGGCGCTGATATTAATGAATCAACGAAATGTGCCCGAACAATGGCGGCAGGACTACAAAGGCGACACCAGCAACAGCAACAGCAGCAGCAGCAACAACAAGCGTAGCAGCGAACTAGCAGCAGCAACAGCAATTCACAAACGGCCAGCAGAGTGGCAATGAGCAGCAGCAACAGCAACAACCAACCCAAAGACTTAGCAATAGCTTGGAACAGCAACAACAGCAGCAACAGCAACAGCAAACGCAACAGCAACAGCAACAACAACTGCAACTTAGCAATAAGGAAAATACACTAAGCAACACAACAAACAGCAACGGCTACAATAAGCCGCGCTGTAATTATTGTAAATTACCCGACGACGCCGTGCCCCAAACGAACAACAAAAACAAAAACTCGAAAATTGATTCACCGAAGTCGTCGCAGAATAAAATGACAATTACGACAGCAGCAACAACAACGAACGTGGCAGCAACGGCCACAGCCAGCGAGTGTGGGTTGACACTGCCAACATCAGCAGCAGCAACAGCAACAGCAACAGCAGAAGAGTTTGTGGGTGCTGCCACAGAAGTGCTGTGCAGCGATAAAGCAACATTGACAGCAACTGCAACAGCGACGGCGACAGCGACAGCAACAGCAACATTGCCGCCAACAACAACACCTAAGCCCAGCCTAGCTGCACGTCCGACCACGCCCAGCCGCCTTAAGACTGTGATCAAAACAACAATGGTGAAGCGTAGTCCTAGCCATGACTCAACGCAGGCGACTGCGACGCATATGCTGCAACCGAACAGCTGCAACATTAACAGCAGCAGCACCAACAACAACAACAACAACAACAGCAACAACAACGACGAGCCCAGACGTTCGGTTAGGGAGCGCATCGCCGCCTATGCGGCAGGAAATGGTAAGTTTTTCTTTTATTTTATTTTGTTTGGTGTTTTTTTTTTCGCTCGCTCGCGCTTAATCAGCTTTGGCACTGTCGCCAGTGCCTGGGCGGAAATGTTGTTGCTGTGGGAAAATCGGCCACAGGCTGAGCACACAGTCATTAGGCTAGTTAATAGCTAACAATAAGTTATTAATTGATTTGTGCGCTCAGCGGTCAGAAGGCAGAGAGAGAGAGAGAGAGAGGGATAGACTAACCATGGCAAATCCCAAAGCTTACGCCCATAGTCTCTCTCTCCCTCTATCTTTCCTTCTCGCATGTCGTGTCCCTAGGGGCAACACAACGAAGGTCAGCCAGCTCATTGTCCAGTCATTTCCTGTTATTGAACACAGCGCTAAATGCGTTCCATATCATATTAATTAAAGATCAGATACTGCAGCTCTGGCATCTGAATCACAGGCAGAACAATTACTTCAAATGCTAAATGCGACCAATTAAGTATAATTTAGTGATAATCAGCTTAGTTAGTCACTCGCCAAGGCTCGGCATTTGCTGAAAATTTAGGTAAGCACTCAAGCAGACAGTAAACATTCGCAAATGACAAATCCGAAATGCCAGCCAGCTGGGAAGGGCGTGCACATATTATTTCCTCAGCATTTATTTGCCTTTTATTTACATTAAAAAATCAAAAGAAATTGACTGCAATTTTGTCATGAATTATGCATGACGTTGAGCTTTGGATTTCCGTTAGCCTGACACACTCACATAGACACACCTTTTGCATAACACACAGAAAGAGAAAGAGAGCGAGAGAGAGAGAGAGAGACGCACATAAAGTCGACTCTATTACAAGTCAATTAAATGCAGCAATGCTTAATAAAAAGTCACTTAAAGCCGCATAAAAACTTTTCATGAAAAATCACTTGAAAATAATAAAAGAAAAAATATTTTTTATTATTTTATTAGTGCGTCTGCATTTGTGCGGCGATTGGAAATGTCGTAAATGCGTCGCGTTGCATAAAAAAATGATAATCGTCTAGCTGGGTGCAGTTGCCTGACTGACTGACTGACGCACGTGCATATGCACCTTTGAGGAAAAGAAGAGAAAATACATAAGCACTCCTCGCATTTGGGCTTTGTCACCAATTGTCGACTGGCACGCCCCTTAAAGCCCATTGCCTTGGGCGCGCTGCCGCCCGCCGCCAATTGGCAGTTGGCAATTTCGCAGAGACACGCAGGAAACACGTACAGCACGTTCGACGTCATGAACGCATATTATATCACTTTGATAGGCAAATGAGGCTTGAAAGCCGGCTCGATCTCCAGCCAAGTTAAGCTCAGTTCTTGCCCTTAGCCCAGCTGACGCTGACACTGATTCTGACTCTGACTCTGGCTCTGCCTCGGTCTCTGACGTGTGACGGCTTAAGGCGCCAATCTGCTGATCATCGCAATGACGCTGGCGTTGTCCTAAGCGAACGCGCACGTCAGCCTCACACAGAATGAGCGGCTTTCATTTGGAGCCGCTCAGGCATTGGTAATCATCATCGTAATGGACAGCCTGCCCAATGCATTGGGCACCTCAGCTCACCTGACTCTTGGGCAGCTGTGCTCACGTTTATTTACTTTATTTCTTTATTTATTTGCTTTTTGTTTTCGCACTGCTACTCTTTGTACACCCCACTTAACAGCTGTACTCGGGCCAGAGTTGTTGTTAAGTGCATTGAGGTAGGCCTCCATTAGCTGCATTTGCTTTGAGTCATCTCTCGATAGACCCTCGCTCGCCCGTTTAGCCCCTGCCGCTTCAGGCGCCTCTCGCACTGAGCAATTAATCACGATCAAGTGACCTCAGGCACACAGAATCAATCAGCAATAAAAACAAAACCAAACAAAATAAATGAAAACAACAACAATAAGTCAACCACACACGCCCAGCTATGAACAATGTACGGCGGACAGTGGCCATTTAGCGTAGACACACCCAGCAAACAATTTTATTTTAAGTCAATAAGCAAATAAGTACAAATATATTTCATTTTCTCGCCGTTGCCTTTTGTTTGCCTATGCATACATACATACATACATACATACATATAGACACAAAAATTGTTAATGGCAGCACGGCCAGTAGAACAAAGGCCGCTACAGTTATTTCCGTTCGTTGAGTTGTGCTAATTAAATGCCGCACAGCAAGCGAGAAAGCCAGAAATTGGCCAACTGCGCCAATACATATATGGAGGGCTGCTCTCTGACTGGAGCTGTGACTGCGATTGTGACTGCCCCTGCGACTGTGACTGGGAAGACCTCCCATGAACTTTCAACGCGCCTCCCACACACAGACACAGACACACACACACTGTCACACATGCCACATGGCAAAAAGTACCGTTAGCGTTGCACAATTGAAATATTGCCAAAACGGCAGAAGAAAAGTGCAGCCCAGTGTGGGCCTGCGCTCCGGCCGAGCTGGCGGCCTGCCAATCGCCGCAAGACGATCAATTGGTGGACGCTTTTCAGCTGACTCTGAGCTGGCAGAGCCCAGACCCCCATAAAATGTAGCCAAACTGTCGCTGTCTTCAGCCTGGCTGACTGACTCGTTTGCGTTGCTGATTTACGAGCTCGCCACGGGTCGTTGTTGTTGTCGTTGTCGTTGTTGTTGTTGTTGTTGTTGCCGTTGTCGTTGTGTAACGCATGCGATTCAGAATTTTTAAATGCCAAGCGCTGACCAGCAGCAGCAGCAGCAGCAGCCAAGAGCTCAGCCAAGCCAAAGATTGAGCCTGCCGGTTACCTATAGTTGTAGTTGTTGTTGTTGTTGTCGCCAAGTCGCGACGGTGGCGGCGACATTTTAATCAAGAAACCCAATCGAACGCACGCATGCGCAATAAAAACAAAAATAAAATCAAACCTTTAAAATCAACAACAAAAATACTTAACCGTTTCACTTACACACACACACACACGCACAGTCAGTACACAAGTACATTCCAGTCGATCGCCTCCTGAGTTCTCTTGAAGCATTCGATTGGGGGCTGGCGACAACAACAACGACAACAACAACAACTGACGAACGCCAACAAACAAAGTTCACTTGATCTTCAGACGTTTTGCCCCTATGCGAATTGAAATGCGATTTATGGCGATACCTTTGCCCATTTGCATACCCATGTGGGCTACACGTAGAGCAAATGTGCCTAGAGAGACGATGGGAGAGAGAAAGAGAGAGAAGTATTACAATGAAATGGATAAGCTCGTACTATTGCCACAATATCCACATACATATGTATGTGTGTGTGTGTATATAGAGCTGCCTAGACTGCATGCTGTACATAGCTAGAATAGTTGCTAAATATATGTAAAGAAAAAGTAGTGCAAGTGAGCTATGTTGATTTAAAGAAAGTTTTGTATATACATACATCGATTTTTTTTTTTTTTTTTTTTTTTTTTTGATGAGGCATTTACTTGAAAGTTAGGGCTTCACTTCAGCTTCACTTCTTAAGTTAGTGTGAGATTGACTTTTAGAATTTGCTAGAATTTTAATAGAGCTTTTGACTCTAGAGAGTCTTCATAAAAGGTTGGAATGTATTTTTTTTATTTATTTATATAAAGCAGGAGTTCTTTTATTTTTTATGGGTTTCTTTAATTGTTAACACATTTACAGATTATTTCCAACTCTATATCGGACAGATCTTTATATTATAAGGAACTTAAAAGTGAGCGAAACTTTCTCAAAGAAATTAGAATCCGATGCGTATGGCATACAAATTGCTTTTGACGTGTTGTTGCGTATGTATTTAGGGTTTTCATATTTAAATTATTCCAAGAACTATAAAAAGGGTTGTATATTTATAAATCAAATTTAAAATCTGGGATATATTTAAGCATATGTAATTTATTATTTATTTGTGATAAACTTTTGTTGTATTATTATAGCAAAGGTTATATTATCTCTAAATTCAGCACACGTAGTTTTATTATTTATTTTTTTCTACTCAACACATTTAGAATTATGTTATCTTTAGCTCGTTTTCTGCCTTGAAAGTTCTATTTATAATTATTGTTATACCATGCTTATAGCATTTAGCATATAAAAATGAAAATTATTTTTGAATTTAATTTAATTCCATTTGAATTCTCTATGTGAGCACATGTGTCTCCGCCTGAGACACTCGTGTTTCGCTGCTGCTCTGTAAGAACTGTATCCAGTCCCAGTATTTTTGCTGGGTGCGGCTGCGAGCAGAGCAAACAGAGCTTAAGATAAATATTTTGCGAACAATCGAGGGCATGGATAAGCTCCGAGTGGTGCGAGCAATATTATCGAATATGTAAATAATTGGTTGCCATTTGCTCGCCATCGAAAAATTAATTAAAGCATTTGCACACACACATGGACAGACAGACAAATGGCAGAAATTGGAAAAACTGAAGTCGACACACACAAACACACACACACACACAGACACACACATGTGCTGGGCATGTTGCGAAAATTTATGACAATTTAAATGGTGCACATTCGGCGGACAATTTGAGGCGATTAGCGCAGAAATTTTCGCGGATTTGGCTTAAGCGGCACGCCGATGCTTGCCACATGTGGCAGCCGCGACTTTTGCCGCATTTTGGCGTCTTTTGCACATTTGGCGCAATTTTTCATTTACTGTAAAAAAGATTATGAAAATGTGTTTTCTGGGCGCGCCATTTGTTGCGAACGGCTGCAAAGTACGATCAACATGTTGCGGCAACAATAATTGCAACAGCTGCATGTATGTGTGTGTGAGTGTGTGTTTGTGTGTGTGTTGGCAGCAATGACAACTTTATATGACTCGCTGAAGAATTATCGCTAAAATTAAACACTGTCTCACCTCCCTCTCTCTCTGTCTCTTTCTCACTCTATTTTTTTCAGAGCCACCTCAGAGTGGAGTCAACGTGGCTCGGCAACATGACAGCGGCAAGAAATTTAGCAAAATTCAGTGCAATACAAATCAAAACAACATGACAAGCGATGTGAAAAGTGCAATTAGCAGTGGCAGCCACAGCCACAGCACCAGGAACAACAGCAGCAGCAGCAGCAGCAGCAACAACAACGGCAACAGTCAGCAGAAACAACATCAAACGCTTATCAACGGCAACACAACGCCGCCGGCAACAGCAGCAGCAGCAGCGGCAGCGGCAGCCAACACGTCAGTCTCCTGCGCGACTATCGCAACTGACACGACGCGCTACAAATCGGGATTAAGTGATGTAGCGGCCGACGAGGACGTTGATGATGCAGCCACATCCACTGCCACATCCACATCCACATCTATAGCCACTGCTAAAGCAACAGCAGCAACTTCATCTGCCACTCCTGCGCCAGCTGCAAGCGTTTTAAGCACCGGTTGTGCAACTATGCCGCGCACTCGCCAATACGGAAGCAATGCTGCAGGAGCAGTGGCAGCCAACACCATGACAGCTGATAAGAAATTCTTAAGCCGTGCTGCACCCGCCGCCAACACTTCGGGCACCACATCGGCAGCGGCAGCGGCAGCTGTTGCTGCACCACAGCAACATCATAAGCTGCAATTCAGCGATAAGGCCGAACTCAAATTGGCCGCCTTGGACAATCTGGACCTGGCGCACAGCCTCGACCTGATCGATGAAGATGGCGATGATCCCTATGGTGCACTCCAGGACTATTTGGAGCGCGTTAAGGTAAGTGCTGGACTTTTTTAATTTGCTGTGAGGCGATTTCATATTGCATCATTCTTGTACTGAATTTGGGCCATGTCTCTAGTCACTTGTTGGCCACATTTAGTTTCATTTCGTTTTGATGAGCGACAGTTGCTGTCCCCACACACATTTCCCTAAGCAGCGCCCCTTCCTGTCTGCCCCGCCTCTGGACTGTCAACGCCGCGTGATTTTGCAAATGATTATTTTGCGTGACAGAAAAATGTGTTAAACCAAACACAGTTGAGGCACAGCACCAGCAGCAGCAGCAGCAGCGACGGATTCGTAATGTGTAACGCATACGACGCGTTGCACGCTCAGTCGTCGTCGTTGTCGCTGTGGTTGTCGTTGTCGTTGTCGTTAGCGTTGTCAGCGTCGTGTACATAAAATTTTATGTTTCTGTACCGGAAAGCGCAATATTACAAACTCAAAGACTAAGCAGCGTCAACGTCATCGACAACGTCAATGGCCGACCGCAACTTTAGTTATTTTTATAACTGTTTCGCATGAAATTTGTCCAGAGACAAGTTGCTTCTTTGCCCATAGCGGAAGCGGCGTACGCACGCGTTGTTCATTAGCATTGCGTTTATGGTGGAGCTGCGCAGCTCGTGGAGCTCGTCAAAGCCAAAGGCGCCTGCTGGTTCTATGCTGGGCTGTGCGTGCATCACCTAACGGTCACTAACGACGCCTTCCATTCGCTCGAAACTTTATTTAACTAAGCACCTAATCCCTCTGCCTTGCAACGTGCGCGCTTAGCATTGATCATGTTATGATTGGTCTTTAAGCAATGCTCGCTTGGTGCTCAAATAGAGCTGCTTCAGTTAATAGTCTTTATATTTTAGATTTTCGAATACTTTGAATTTAATAAATAGGGTGCATAAATACTTTCAATACAATAAATAAATACATAAATAGATTTTATGAAATTTTCAAATTCTTTAAATAACATAAATAATGAGCAAAAACCAGACGCAAATGAAATTGAATAAAAAATTATAAAATATAAAAATTATAAAATAAAAAACTTTCCATTCACAAATAAAATATTCAGTTACGGGCTTAAGAAAAAATCAATTAAAATTAATCTTATGCAAAATTTTGCATTAGCTTCTGAGTCCTTCAGCTTCGTTCATGAAAGAAATGTATGATGATTATTTAACGAAATATGTTTGAGGCAAAAGAGGGTTTTTAAGCTCACAAATCTGTTTTATGTTTAATGAAACTAAAATCGTTTTCCACATCTACATTTAATGCAGGTACTCCAATTTCTCTCTAATCGAAAATAGATAATAGATAATATCTATTCTTCTTGCAGCTTGTTTGCCTGCCTCCCTATGTAAGAAACCCATTCAGCCTTAGTCCGGCCTGCATTTCTTTTCGGTCTCTGATTGGCATTAGGCGGCTGCACGCCATCTATGCACATTTTATAATCAGTGTCATCACCTCAACACCCATCGACCGGCCGGCCAGCCACGCCCTGAGGGGCGTAGCATACGTTGCTGTTGTTGTGTCTTGTGTGTGTTGCTTAGCCGGCGTGGGCTGTCAGCTTATGACACGAGCAATGGCTGGGTCTGTGGCTGTGGCTCTGGGTCTGAGTCTGACTTTGGCCCTGGCCTGTACTAGCCAGGCTTAAACACCTTCATTTTATGTTGTTTTTTTGTTGCTTTTTTCATTCACATTTCAGCTCAATGCAGCTAATTTTTTGGCTAAATTGAAATTATTAGCCGGCAACTGTGGCTAATGATGACAAAATGTGTCACAGTGCTGCCCACACGAGTCAGTCGCTTTCTTTTGTCGCTGCCGCTGCCGCTGCCCTCGCTGTTGCCCCCGCGCGTGGCAGCGCTTGTGAGGCAGCGCTTGTGCGTTTATTATGACAAATAGTGCAGCACTTTAGCTCCAAATTGCCGTTACTCGTAAGACTCGGCTAGGCGCTTGTTGTAGTCGTGGCTTAGGCTTAATTTGCCTAGTTATGAAATACGTTTGTGGGGGCGGCTGTCGTTGTTGTTGTTGTGCTTGTCTGCGTTGTCGTTGCCTGACCCATTTTGGCCGCAGCAGCGAAGCGTGCAGCGAATCTGGTAGGCTGTTTATGAAACAGATGCAACATGACAAGCGCGCGGCAACTCGTTTTGCTTTGCGCTTCCTGCATCAATTAGTGTTTGTGTTGCATTTCGGCTACACACACACACACATACACACATACGCACACACGTAATCCATAATTTAACTACCAACACACTCCAATCATAATTGACTCTCGTCAACGGACTGACGAGTCCATAAGCCCAATCAAGCCTTCAACGTCTAACGTTTTAGCCACTCAAAGAAAAGATCTGATAAGCTTTCGACAACACCGGCAAAAACAACAAAATAAATGCTGTTGCGTGTGTTCTCAGCCGATTTTAATTATAGATATTGACAATGTGGCAAAACGAAATTGAGACGTAAAGCTCAAAAGCCTCAAACTGTGGGATTGGCCGAGCCAGCTCCTAGGGATTGTCCCAGCTGGAGTCAGTGTGGTTCAGTGAACCTCCAAAGCATCAGCCAATTATGCGCATGCTGCTAATGAATGTGGGCGACGGCTTTACCCTTAACTTATCTGAGGCTCTATAACTTTATGCAATGGCATTAGGTGAGGCTGGGAGCTAGGAGCTGGGAGCTGGAAGCTTGGAGCTGGGAGCTGGAAGCTGGGAGCTTGGAGCTGGGTAATTTGCGCCTGCAACTGCGTCTGCGCAGCTGCCTAGAGAAAGTTGTCTTTGCCCAATTTGCAAATGACGTTTTTTTGTCAACGTCAACAGCAAACGGCAAACGGCAAATGGCGAACGGCAAACGGCAAACGGCTAAGCCAAACGGGCAAATGGCAAACAAATGGCAATAAAAGGCAGTGCCAGCGCTGTGCACGTTACTATTTTTGTCAACCAGGAGTTGCTGCCGTGTCCCCCAATGCAGACAATAAACCAGAAATCGCAGCAATGCGCCAAATGAAGCCAAAACTGAAAATACAAATAATAAACCAACAACAAGTCAACAGCAACAGTAAACAGTCAACAAAATCAACAGCAACATGTTGCTCTCTGCTGTCATTGCCACAAATCAAATGAAAGTGAAGCAACTCTCGAGCCGTCCATCCGTCCAATTGTCCAACTGTTCGACTATCTGTGAGCAGCAGCTTCTACAATTTCACCAGCAGCAATCATAATTGCGGACGGCAATTAAGCTGCTGTCAAATATTGCCAGCTACTCATGCTGCTCGGGTTACAGTTGCAGTTGCTGGCTGCTGGTTGCTGGTTGCATGTTGCTGCCGTGCACACAATTGCCTCACCCTCGCCTCGAACCTGTGCCTGACGTGTTGTCAACAGCATTTGGCTCATTCCAGCACCGCTGACAATGCGTTGATATTTTCCGACAAGCAAATCTGTGGCAACAAAAAACCATTGCCACAAAATTGAGCCAATTTGCTGAGGCTGGACTCAAGTCGACTGGACGTTTGCTACTGCACCATGTGTCCATGGATAGCTTTCAGCTGGACACTGACTTTCTTTTTGGCCAGCCATCAGACAACCTGGGCTTCTTTTCGTTTCTTTTCTTTTCTTCTCTTTGTCTATCTGCTGGCTGCTTTGGCAAATGTCAAGCCCAAGTGACACAAAGTAGTCAACGCTGTTGTGATATCCGTTTGAAAGTTGGCAGCAGCGTTAAAGACGCTTCCTCAACATGATTCGCAGTTTTATTTGTTCACTCTTCTCGCATGACACTTTTGCTGAAGCTGCTTCAGAAACAAACAATAATATTTGATTATTTGAAACTCGGAACAAATATGCGCAGTGTCATAAATCTTGGAAAAGTGCTACAAGATAAAGCTGCCCGTGTCAGTTGCATAAGTGGGACTCTGTATATATACAGGGCGGGGCAAGAATTCTTTTTCTGTTGCTGCATGTTTTTGTTTTTTGGAAATTTGTTTATTTAATCCATTAGAATATATTCAGGCCTAAGCTAGAATTTACGACTATACGATTCTTTTTGATGACATGTTCGATCACTGTTGTTAGAACTTAGGGCGTCAAATTCGCTTGTACTTCAGAACTCAAGGTTCTATCTACATTTTTAATGAAAGTGATCGACTTCAATAGACCACATTAAAAAATTCTGGAACCGTCAAATCGGACTGGAAACAAAAGATTAAGTTATCCGGAAAAGCTTCCTTCACTCATACCACTCTATATACGTATATACGTACGTATACCTATGTATATACAGTCTATATTTATAAATGATATACAGTAGAATCCGGTTATCCGAACCGTGAACTCAATTTCCTTGTTCTTATCTGCATTGAAAAGCCTAACATTACTAATTTAGCTTAAGAGCTACGATCGATATACTCACCAATATATGTTTATATAAGCCTAAACATATCAACTGCTTTGACTATTATCTTACACATCTTTGACATACTCTTATTCCAATGCAATCCCCATCAATATTCCATTTAAGAATGACGTAAATCCCTCAAAATAAAATGCTGAACTCATGGCCACTAACTCTGAAAGCTTCCCAGTCAGATCTCATTAAATACTTCGGTCTTCGGTCTATGCATTGCGTCGGTACAGCTGCACGTGAGACACACGCTTGACCACATCGTCGGATCACTCGAAGTGTCATTGCCCAGTTGAGTGCCCACAGCAGCAGAGCCGCAAATGCTGCACTCATTTTTCTAGACAAACTCCGCGCTGGGTTCAGCTGTGGTGGTTGCCCCCAGACTGAAGTGCCATTGAAATTACAATGATCTTCATATGTTTTTGGACTGATCGCAAACATCAAGCTACCAAAAAAAACCCGAAATTCAACGTAGACGCGCATCTGCTTAAGAGTTGTGTATGTGTGTGTGTGTGTGTGTGTGAGTGTTTATTGTGAGTATTATTTAACCAATTTGTTTTTGGTTGCTATGACCTTCAATGGTCATTTATACAAAACAAAGAGCTGGCCTGGCCTGGCCTGACTTGGCCTGCACTGAGCTAAGCCATGTTGGCTTGGCTTGGCTTGGCCTGGCCTGGCCTGGCCTGCTCTGACCAGCAGACTTTGCGTCTCTCCAAATATTTTGACGCTGTTGTCGATTTGGAAGGCAGTCAGCAGCCGACTGGTCAATGTCAATGTCAGAAATTTGTTGAAGTGGAAAAATTCAGTTGCTGTTGTAACGGAAGCTTAAAACTTATTTGGTTTTCCTCTGAACGTCAGCCGGCAACAGACTGGCTGACTGACTAACTGATATTTTTAAGGTTCAATGCTTGCTAATAAGCTGAAGCTAGAGCCGTTTGATTGATGTGCGTTTTGGGGATTACAAGCAGCGGGCAGCAGTCTGACCTTAGCGGCCACAGCTTTGTTGTGGCTGTTGCTATTGCTGTCATTGCTGGTCTGCATTTGTGTTTGTGGGTTCTATCTGGCTGCATATCTGAGCGTCAGACCTATCGCTGCCTTGGCATCGGCATCGACATCGGCATCAGCAGCTGCGTGCCACGCCCGCGTCGCCATGCTGCAGCTGTGTGGAGTCTGCGACTGCATTGGGAAGTCTGCGACGAAGTCAAAGGCTGAATAGCTAGCACAATGCTGATTACATTTACCGATAAATTAGCCAATGAATACAATTAAAAAAGGAAAACGAAATACACAACATCGATGCCCCCGAGAGGCCTCCAGAGAGACTCTAGAGGCTGCCACAAGGGCACAGACCTTCGCAGCAGCAATTCTAGAAAGGCCCCAAGGGCGAGTGGCAGCCAGCAGCGAGCATTGGGGCCATTTAACCTTCGATTACTTCAATTTACACAAAATCAATTGCAAGCCAACTATATATGTATGTGTATATGTATATTTTTGATTAGCTTTATACACTCTTACGAAACCTAGATGCACTAGAGGGAGAAATCGAGACGCGAGTGCCCAAAGGATGTTGGCCAAAAAGTGCGCATTACTATATATATGTATATATATATATCTGTCTGTATATAGCTAAACGATCGCCATTTACATGTCCAATTGACCATAATCAGTGTCAATGTCAGAGCCATGGCTGCTGGGACTATCGTTGAGCGTTAATTGTGTCTAGTGGGCATTGTGCGCAGATCGCCTCCAGCGCTGATGGCTTCTAGCTGGCCAGGATGTTTTCACCTGCTGCTGCTGCTGGCGCATGCCCGGATTGACAATGAAGCGCACTGGCTCCTGCTGCTGCTGCTGCTGCTGCTGCAGCTGTTGTAAATAGGCTGACATTGATCTTGTCGACTGCAATCTATTAGCGGGCAGCGGCAATTGTTGCTGCACTAGGGCTGCGTCGTCGGCTGACATTGATGTCTTGACTGATTGATCGTTACCATTAATTTCATGCGTTGGCATTCTTTGAGGCCAGTTGTCGCCTTCGCCTTTGCTGTTGCTGTTGCTGTTGTCGTTGTCACTGTCCGACTGCCATGTTCTCTGCAGTCTTCCCCATTTGCTCGGTGGCAACTGAGTCTGCTTTGCCGTCAATTGCCGTTTGCCGCGATTCGGAAAGAATGGATCGTCGACGTTGTAAAGATCGCTCAGCTTCAGTTTTTTGCCGCGATGCGAAAAGAAGGGATCGTCCGGTTTGAAGAGATCGCGTTGCTTTTTGCCGCGATTCGGATAAAATAGATCGTCATACTTGAACAGATCTTTGACGCGGTCGCGCTTGCCGCGATTCGGCACAAATGGCTCGTATCGATTCAATAGCTCCTCCAGGTCGGGTGTGGTGTGCTTGCGGCCTCGCGGTGGTATAAATGGATCGTCCTTTGGCCTTAGATTATCTGCGAGAAAGAAAAGGGAAGGCAACGAAAAGAGTATGGGTGAGAGGGAAAGAGAGAGAGCGAGAGGGAGAGAGAGGTGCGTGCCAGACAAGTTGTTATTAAGGCCATGAGGGCCCCATGCATTTAAAATTAAACGACACAAGAATAGAACTCAAGTGAGTAACCGAGCTAAAGGCTGGTCCTTTTGTAATTTCAACACCCTGATACTCGTTACGCCCAGGGAATTATGATTTATGCATGCTCACCGCCCAGTGGGTAGTTCTCCTTCTGATTCTGCTTCTCGCGCCGCACCAGCACATAGTGTGGCTCCTCGACAATCAGCGGCGGCTCCAAGTGGCCCGATAAATTATACTTTTTCCATATGTACATGCCCGGATGATAGAACTCGGCTGCACTGCCGCCCTGGCCCTCAGCCGGGAACTGCGATGGGTAGAGCAGCTGCATGGCCCAGTGCAGAAACTTGGCCAAATCCTGTTCGCCAGTGAGCAGCATGAAGACCTCGTTGCTGCTGTCCCTCGCATTAAGCCCTTCATTGCTGTCATCTATGTCATAGTAGTCGTTGTCGTCCATTTCTAAGGACTCATCCAGATCGTCTTCGTTGCCCGAATCTTTCATTTTGTCCAGCTGCTGTCGCATGCGCGACACGGCTTCTCTGGTTCTGTTGAAGGTGTGAAATTGTTTCAGTTAGCCCTATAATCTCAGCATAACTAAGATGTATGTGTGTGTGTTAAGATTAATGAGGCATCATTTGTAGCCCGATGTCAGTTTAAGGATCGTCATTGTGCATCATCTCAGAAAACATTTTTCTTTTAATAGAGCGTGGGTTGCTCAGGTTTCAATTACACACGCGCACGTCTCTCGCTGGGTTTTCTCTTTTTCCTCGCACATACACAGTGCTCGTCGTAAATTGATGAACATGTTTGTGTACGTGGGCTGCCTTCAACAATGACAGCCACTCGGGCAGCTGACCCAGAAAAGCTACCAATAGACCTCCAACTTTTCCCCGCCCAAAATGCTATGCAGAATCGACTATGGGCTCTGTGTTAATCTTGCTGTCATGTCCCATCCAATGCTCATCCGATCAATAGGCGATTCCCCTTTATAAATTGCTGTGTAAAATTACAAATTAAAGGCACTGAAACAACTGAAAGTTATGCGGGCTTAAGGCCAATTAATCGACGCATTTAACAAATCAACAAAAACACACAAATGAAGAAAACTCATGAAATGATTAATTGCAATTTAATAGTAGCGCCCAAGACCAATCATTTTTCAACGCGGTGCTCGTACAATTCAAAACTATATTTAAGAGATGCTCAAGATGTACGACTATGCGCTATACCCTATAAAATTACAGGCAATGAGCAAACATAAAAATAAAAAAAAAAATAAGAATAAAAAAATATAAATATAAATATAAATATAAATATAAATATAAATATAAATATAAATA